ATTAATACAATAAATAGATAAAAGACGACAGTGTAAATTACTTAGAAGGCCATTCAATTAGATGACTACGTACAAATTTATTCATTTATACAGTAAATGTCTCAGAACAAATACAAATAATACTTTCAATTGGTTATCCCTATATAAGTGTTGAATAGTTCTGAAATGATGTAAAATAATTTATTTTGGTAATGCTATTTATTTGAAGTTAGTCTGCGTGACCGTTAAATTGATGAAATAGTATGGTTGCAATTATTTATGTTGGGCATTAATTCTTGAAAGCAATGCTTTTCTCTTTTGTTTTGATTATTTGATAGGCACTACAAACAAACAATAGAGTATGATGCATAAGACGTTGCAAAGGTGCATTGGCACAAACAATGTATCTTCTTTTAATGTTCCCTTCTCTCTCTAAGAACCCTAAGAACCCTAAGAACCTAGACAATGCATCTAACAATAATAATAATAATAATAATCCTTAGTGCAAGATCCATATGGCTTGTTTTTGGTTTATAAGAGATTATTTATATTGCAGGCAAAAAAAGAAATGAATGGATGACCCCAGCTAGATTTGGGGGCCTTGACCAAAACTAGAGGAAAAGGGTTATTAAAGATCCTCCATGCACTTCTTTCAAGGCGTAATAAAGGACAATTCAATAAGATAAGAGAAAAACAGCCCAGGTAAGAGTTGGCAATGTCAGTTGCTAGCTCAAACTGATATGATTATCACATAGAAGTTCCCCAAAAATATGAAAAAGTAGGATAAACAATCATTATTAATTTCTCAAAATTGAGGAAGAGGACCTTAAGGGGCAGGTCTTTTTATTAGTGTTATTTATTATTTTACAGTACCTGTGGCGGTGGTTAATCATCAAAAGCTCTCTTTTTGATGCGAGCGTGAGGTATATAAATGGAGCTTCTATGCCATTACCTTTTTCTTTCTACACTCTCCTTCATGAACACATTGGTCTGATAGCTGTATTTTCCCCTCTTTCTACTATACCGTTATTGTTTTTTTCTCCTCTTCTCTCTCTAAATATGATTTTTTCTCTCTCCATGTGCCACAGTAAAAGGCACGTTTGTCATCAAGGAGCAAGTTTGAAGAAATCCCAAATTGAATAAAGTGGTTTTGATTTGAGGAAAAAGCTTGAATGGAAGGCAGAGTTCCGAAAGTTGGAGGATCAGAAATGGGTATCTTTGTCTTCCCACTTTTAAAGTTGGGTCCTTTTGTAATTTTATAATCTTCTTTTCTCTCTCTGTCTTTGCAGGTTGGGTTCTGTAACACTGACTAGGGCTTGAATGGGGGTATTTATTATGCTGAAATCAATGTTGTTTGCATAATTGACTGTTTCCATGGACTTCTTTTCAGCCCTTTCTTTGAACAGTCAGTTTTAGCTTCTCTCTCTCCTGGGGGGGCCTTCTTTATGATTTTTGGTACTTCAAGTTCAGTGTTGGCTTTGGAAATGGTAGCTGCCATGCTCGTGTGAACTTTGGTACATCTTTTGGGTATTTGGATTTTGTTTGAACCTCTTGCAAATTTTGCCATCATTTACTCAAGCTGCGTTTTCTCTTCCCGCATCTAGCCTTTTTTTGTGCTTCAAGCACTTAGCCAAGTTTCTAGTTCCTTCAGTTCTAAAGGTTTTCCTGGATTCTGGTTGATGCTTGTGATGGAATCATGTTTGTTGAATTTGTATTGAGGCTTAGGAGGCTCCATCTGTTATTTTGTTTATTTGAAATTTGACCATTTTTTATATTTGGCCACTGTTGAAGGTACTTACTGTTAATTTCCTCTGATTACCAATTAGTTAGGAAAAAAGATCATAGAAAAGAATCTGCTAGTGGAGTGGTTTGGTATATATTGTTGAGGAGGGATGGATATGAGTGACAAAGAGAAGTTCGAGGTGGATAGAAACGAGGATCCTATGGGTTATTCTAGTGGTATGCACTCGGATTGGAGATTCGGGGGTGCAAATCTTGCAAATTCTTCTGCAGGTTTGGTTGCCATGGGAAATTCTGTGAATGCCAGCAGAGGGGATTTGATTGGTTCGTCTTCATGTTCCTCTGCTTCAATGGTGGACTCTTTTGGTGCAAGCTACTGGGACAACACCACCGGCTC